GATCTCTCTCGGCACGCCCGTCGCTGCTGTGGCGTCCCGCGGGCCCACGACCCCCCGGGTGACGCCCCAGACCACCACAAGGCCCACGTCCACGAAGAGGTCGCGGGGGGGTGAGGCTTGGCTCCAGCCACCGCCACCATGACCGGTGTGGTGCTGCTGCTCTATCCTCACCCATCGCCCGCCACCGCGGCCGGGTCCCGGCGGCGGTCTACCCCCTCGCTGGCTACCGCCGCCACCGCGGCTGCCGCCGCCCGAGCGACGTTCCTCGGCGCCCTCTCTCGAACGCGCACGCCGCAGTTGCTGCTGGAGACGACACTGCTCGTTGGTGTGAAGCTCGGACTGGTGGTAGCGGCAAAATCCGCCGGGGTCGTCGTTGAACACGTCATTATTTTTCTTCTGTCCGTCACGATTTTGGCCGCCAGCTGCTGCCTGACCGCCGTCTTGACCCCAGGATGCCCCCCCACTGCCCAGGATGAGAACGGTAAAAAAACGACGATGTGTGTTAAGCTGACTGACGTGTCTGTAGTAGAGAACCTGAGCTTCAATTTGTTTTCAACGCATGCAGTTTCTCGAAAGCAACAAATCCTGCACGACGAGCGTGGTGCAACCCTCCAAAATGGACTGCTATTTGCTAGGGAGGAAAAAGCGTCTGCAGCATATGCCATGCGCTTACCATACGACCCATCTGCAACTATAGTAGACTCTTCTGCTTTGCCTGCATTCGTGACTGCCCCCGATTCCGCCCCCGCCGTTGGCTCCACGCGTTCCCCTTCCCAAAAAGGGGGCTCCGCGGAATCGTTGGTGTCCGTGTTGCGTTTCCCTCCCGCTGGCTCTGCTAGCGTAGTACCTTCGAGTGAGAGTGTCACGCCCGCTGGTCCCACCAGCGTAGTACCTTCGACTGATAGCGTCACGCCCACTGGTCCCACCAGTGTAGTACCTGCGAGTGAGAGCGTCCCGCCCGCCGGCTCTGCCGGCGTAGTACCTTCTTCGGCGTCCGAGTTTGTTTGTGTGGGTACTTTTCCGGGTATGGATCTTGGAGACACGAGTGTGCTCACCGACGAGCAGCTCATGGATGGCTATGATGACACCCCGTATCAAGAGTTTTTCCCCGCGTTTATCCCTGAGACTGATGCTGCGAATGTAGCTGCTGTTTTGGATAGCATTGATGGGGGTGCTGATTTTGACTTCGGTGCGGCCGTGCTTGGCCCTGGTGCGTCCCCGTTTGCTCTTGGTTCGACTGAAAAGTCCGTTGACATCAACCGCTTCCACCGCTCCCTTGCCCACGCTTGCGAGCCCCTTTTGAGAGAAACCGCCCAGCAGAGAGGCATCGTGCTCACCGGCAAGCTGGAACCGTGCACGGACTGCATGAAGGCGAAGGGCAGGCGAGGGTCGGTGCCGCGGGGGCCGGGAGCGCGGGCGTCCAAGCCACTCGGGCGTGTTCACCTGGACTTGTGTGGACCGCTGGTGCCTTCCCTGGGCGGCAACCTCTACCTGTTCGTCGCCGTCGACAGCGCCTCGCGGTGGAACAAGGTCTACGGTCTCCGGCGGAAGTCCGACGCGCTGGCGGCAACGAAAAGGCTGCTGGCGGACGTGGGGCGGTACGACCTCGGGCGCATCGAGTGTTTCCGCGACGACAACGGCATCGGCGTCGAGTTCACCCCGCCTGGCACTCCGAAGTACAACGGCGTCGTCGAGAGCGCCATCTGGCGGATTATGAAGGCCGGCATGGCCGCCCGCCGCAGCGCTGGCCGTGTGTTCAACGTCGACTTCGCCTCCATCCCCGGCCTCGACGAGCGCGGTGACCGTCTTTGGATGGAATCGGCGAAGTGGGCCGCCGACGCTCTTAACCAGTCGGCGACCAAGGCCAACCCCGGGCGGCGCTCGCCGCACGAGATGTTCACCGGCGAGCAAGGGCCGTTCCGCGTGCTGCCGTTCTTCCAGCCCGGCTTCATGCGCGAGGATCGCCGCACCAAGCTCGACGACCAGGCCACCCTCTGCTTCTACCTGAACGGCGGCGACAACCACCCGAGCGGCACCGTCAAGGTCCTCAAGGCGTCCACCGGTCGCGTCGTCTACACCAACAACGTGTCGTGGGTGACGTCGGCGCCAGCCGGCGAGGGGGGTTCCGCTGGTATCACCGCTGCACCGACACCCCCCCCGTTCACGCCGCCGGTCGTCTCGATCAACTTTGGCCCAGCACCGACGCCTTCGACTGCCGCAACGCCACCTGCCGCAACGCCGCCGCCAGCGACCACGCTCGCCGTCCGCTCCCACGCCTTCACAGCCGCCCTCTGCCACTTCGCCGCCACCGTCGGCGACCCCCGCCCCTGGCCAGCCGTCTTCTGCCTCTTCGCCGTCACCGTTGGCGACCCTCGATCCAGACCAGCCGCCGCCGCCGGACCCCGCGATGCCCCCGCTTACGGCTCACGCCATGCGGCAGCTTCGCCCGGGTACAAAGGCCGAGGGTATGATAGACCCGCGGCTGCCAAGCCGAACGAGATCGGGCACGAGGCACAGCACAGGACTCATCTCGATGCTAGACAAGAACACTCTGGTGTTCGATGCTGGAGGCTCGGAGCGCGGTGGATGAGGAGCGCAGGGAGCTGGGGGGGGCGGAGGCCGGAGAGCCGGGGGGAGCGGGGGCCGGAGAACAGGCGGGAGCACTCGCAGCGGTGGACCCGGGGGCTGGAGGAGCGGGCTTTCCACTCGCATTTGCCACGCTCCTCGCCAACCGGGAAGACATCGACGCCACGCTGCGAGACCAGCGCCCGCCGGAGCAACGCCCTGACCTTCCTCACTGCCAGGCCAGCGACCTTCGTGTCCCCAAGAGCTACAAAGAGGCCATGGCGTCGGAGCACCGGCACCTTTGGAGCGACTCTATGCAAAGGGAGTTTTACGGCTTGTTGGAAGCAGGGACTTTTACTCCGGCGAAGTAGCAACTAGTGGAGAACGCAATTAACGCTAAGTGGGTATTCGATTGGAAGGCAGATGAATTTGGATGGCCCACTAAGGTGAAGTCGAGACTTGTAGCGAGAGGTGATATGCAGAGAGAGTACATTGACTTTGGAAAGCTGTACGCGCCTACCGTTTCTGTTTCGTGTGTTAGGATGTTGGCTGCGTTGGCGTGCGAGTTAAATCTCGACTTGTGTCATTTCGATATTGAGCAAGCTTTTGTGCGCTCGGAGTTGGAGGAGGACGTGTACATGCGTTTGCCACAGGGATGTGGAGCTCTATCTGGAATGATTGTAAAACTAGGCAAGAGTCTGTATGGGTTGAGACAGGCATCTAGGCAGTGGCATGCAATGCTGAAGAGGTGTTTAGTGGCGTTAGGTTTTGAGCAGTGCATGGCCGATGCTTGTGTGTTTCGTTTGATTGAGGATGGATGTGTTGTTTTGATTTTGGTAGTACATGTAGATGATATTTTTGCTGTGGGAGAGAGGGAGAGATGTGATAAGTTTGGCGCCGATCTTAACAAGTCCGTGCCAGTGAAGAACCTGGGAGAGTTGAGATGGTATTCTGGGTGCTTTTACGAGAGGAACAAGGAGACCGGAAGGTTGACGATTTCTCAGCAGACTTTCGCGGACGAGCTAGCAGCAGAATATGGAGTAGTGGGAGGTAAGAGCGTTCCGATGTCTTCGGGGGTGAAGCTTTCTGATTTTGATGCGGATGAGGTGGCGACAGACTTTCCGTTTCGTGAGCTGGTAGGATCGTTGATGTGGCTGGCGACTCAAACTAGGCCAGACATTGCGAATGCTGTAAGGGCAGTAGCTAGGTATTGCGCATCTCCGAAGCTGGTACACTGGAATGCAGCGATGGATATTTTAGGCTATGCGAGGAGGACGAGTCACTTTGGTATTTCGTTTCAGAGGGGTACAGTAGAAGGATTCAGCTTGCAGGGGTACGCTGATGCGGACTTTGCAAGCAAGGCAGCAGACCGTAGGTCGGTATCAGGGGGAATCGTGACGTGTGGAGGAGGCGCTGTGTCTTGGTTTTCCAGAACGCAAAAGTGCGTCACGCTTTCGACGACAGAAGCAGAGTACGTCGCGCTTGGTGACATGGTGAAGGAGATTTTGTTTTTGAGGCAGATTTGGCGTTTCATGTTGCCGCAGGTCGGCATGCCGTGTATCCCCGTCTTCGAGGACAACCAGGGGGCGATTCAACTAGCGCAGAACCCCATCTCAAACTCGAACTCGAAGCACATAGATGTAAGGCACCATTTTCTCAGGGAACTGGTAGAGAGGAAGGAAATTTCGGTGATCCACGTGCCGTCTCCGTACCAGCGTGCAGATTTTCTCACGAAGAGCTTGCCGAAGGACGCTTTCGAGTCTCACCGTGATTTTGCAATGAATTTGGCATGAACATTTTATTGTTTTTCTGATTGGTTGTGTTTTGGTTTTGTTTTGTTTCTCGTTTTGTTTCCCGTTTTCTTTCATTTCTCGCGCCAAGTATTTGTTACGCGCGATGCAGTATTCATGTTCCTTTGAAATGTTTTTCCCTTTGAATTGTTTTTCCCTCTTATGTTATTCTGGTCGAGTATTGATGGCATATATTCTTGGAGAGATGTATTTTGGTTGAGATATCGAGTGTTCGCGAAGTTTTCAGTGAATAACTGTTGCGAGCAGGGGGGATGTTAGATATACTCGCAGCAGTATCTGGTCGTGAGGATCCCAGGGGGATACGTGTTGGGAATTTCGTGTGTTGCAGGGTACCATCGGTGCGGTCACGGGGACCCTTTTGGCGTGGTTGGTGCGATGAAGCTTGCGTGCGTGCTGCGCTCACTTCTTCCTCTCTCTCTCCACCACCACCACCGTCTCTCTCCAATCAAGTTTCCTTCTCCCACTCTCTCTCCAACTCTCTCTCAATCTCTCTCTCTCGGCCTAACACGGCCGACTACCCAGTGCCCCAAGTAACGTCCAGAACGTGCTTGCTGCACCCCGCGTAGTTTACCTTTCATAGGGGATGGTGCCAACTCTCCGCCGCTTACGGTATGATGTGCAAACAGCAATAAATTTATGCCGTAGGTTGTACACAATGCACCGTTTGGGTTTTATGTGCTGTTCGCGCAGCTGATTCCCCCCAAGTTGATCTCTAGTAAGTGACTTGCTATTACGCTGCTGGTAGACTTGATGTCGTTGACATCCCAGGTGGCGTCGCATTATATATATGTGACCGACCCTCTCCACGCGGTTGTCGCACACGAAAACTTCAGAGAAGACTCACAGCGCTGCGGATCGATCGCTGTGTAGTCAATTAAAATTATGTAGCGCTGCACACACAACCGTTTTGTCGAAAAACAGGGTCTATACTACTGACCGATTGGCGAGAATCTTCCTCTCTGGGCGACGTCACGTTTGCGCATATAGATAGATAGGTGTCACGCAAAGAGTAACCCAAGTATAATCCATCCACTCCTGCGTCCATTTCCCAAACTAACCGCCGCCTCGCGCAGAAACATGTCTCTGAACAACGGCTTCTTGGGGCCCTACTACGACGAGAACGGATGCTACTGGTGAGAGCAAAATACAGGGATTGCTTTATTTACTTGTTCAGTTTGCCTTCACTTCCCGCCGGGGTTGTGAGGATCGCTAGCGGATTTGAAATGATATTGGCAGAAATCAAACTAAAACATGGACGCGTTGCAGCAATTATGGAGCACTTTCACACGAACGGGTTATCATGCGCTCTCTGGGTCTGTTGGCGAGATAAGATAGACCAACACGTACGTGTGCTGTACGCATGGATCCAAAATTCAAAGCAGAACACAGTTCTTCGTCGGAGGTTGTCGCATCTTATTGCTGTGCGTACCATGTTGTTCGCAACGATCCTGAGAAGGTGCTTCGAGCCGCTCGGGATCGTTCTGTTGGCCGGAGCCTGTAGCATCTTGCCTTCTCAATGGAGAACATACTCAACCGAGGGATGGAACAGACATCGCAAATAGTGTACCAGACAGCCCTGGAAATAGTCGGCATCGCCCCCATGTCTTCTGCCCGACGCTCTATTTCCAATAGTACCGCTACCGTCATTCGTTGTCGTCATTTTTCTGCATACTCTTGCGCCCAGGGTGAACTACGCTACCGGACAGCGTTCGTACCAGATGGTGGGGGGGAGCCCTCACGTAAGCCCAATGCAAGCTCCGATGCGAGCCCAGCAGTACGGCATGAGTCCTCCGCAGCTCGGCTACACCCCGCCGTTCCGTGCTCAAGGCGTCGCCGCCACGCCCATCCTCCCTCCTCTTGCACTGGGTCCCAGCCATGCAGAGGCGACTGTGCCCACTCGTAGGAGGGAAGAACTCTACGACTCCCGGGGCAACAAGTACTGGGTGAACACCGTCACTCGCCAGTCAACTAATATTGACCCATACATTTGATCCGTCTCGGAGCGGGGGGGTTGTCAGCATAAGATGGCCGGGTGCTGATCGCGCAACTCCGCACACTGTATGACGGGGGCGGTTGGATGATGGCCGTGCGGCTTTCGTCCTATCAGGGGAAGGCATTGCTTTGTGCTGTTATGTAAGGGGACACAAATACCACCCCGCATCGTCTCAACCTTGATGTCTGGTAGCGAAAGGCTGTTAAACCAGTTCATTCGACCATGAACCCCTACCAAGGATATCGAAATTACATGGTGTTGTTGTTGTTGTTGTTGCTGTGTCTTTAGCTGTGACCGAGTGTCCCACGCATATTGTATCCATGGCTTGTTGTATTAGGGGATGTTGTGTTAGGTGGGATATGTTTTTTTAGCGCGTGCGTGATGATCAAGATTTGACAGCGTTTTGAAAAAACATGTAGCCCGTCTGCTGTTTGTATTTGGTATCCCTGTACGTAGGGAAAGCACAGGCAGACATGTATGTACAGGTGAAATAGCCAACAGCGACACACGTTGCCGTCGATACTCTTCAAGTCGTTCATAGCACATCCAGTGAGTGATGAGGAGGATACAGCGTTGATGCGAGTTCACACACCATTTTTTTATTAATTGACGCCAGCCTGGTAGGCATTTGTTTTGTCGGCAGAGAGAGAGAGTCCTTTCGAGCGAACAAGATGCAAGATACCTACCGGAGTCGTTCACAGCATGCATGCGCTGCTGCTGTTGGTTGCACGTACACAGAGGGCATGCTGTTTTGGGAATGCCCACCGATGGTGCTATCGTGTGCGCCTTTGTGCCTTGAACTAGATGTCGTGCTTCTGTTTCCTCGGAAACGCTTTCTGACAGAGTACTACGGTTCGCCGTACCGTGTAGTTCGGGGAGAGGAGGAGCAGGGGGTTGGTGGAGGCAGGTGCATGCGATGCGATAGGAGCGTAGAGTTACCTTTCTGAAGTAGTTTGAGTCTGTACATAACGTCGAGGAGAGCAAATTTGCATGCTACAAGCTATTATTCTGTACTTCGAGGGGTAACAACACGCAACTGTATATATTACAACTGAGGGAAATATTCGTTGAAGCGTATCATAGAGGGCGTCAAAACGGCGCGGGAGGTTCTTTCCTCGAGCTAAGGGAAGACGCGCTATCCCTTCGATCCTCAATTTGGTGGTGCCTAAACGATACTCAGTTGGATACGAGTGATTTGTTTGGCATTGGGTGTTTTTTAGTTTTTGGTTTTGGGGGCGCAATGATATCAACAAGTTGGATGTGGTTTGTTTTGTTTTGGGTATTTTTGACCGTTTAGTTTTGGGGACGCAACATGGCCAACCCACGAGATCGGAACTCCTGCGAAAGGCAGGAGGAGGAAGGAGTGGATCCTGGTTGCCAGAGCTGCGAACCTATTTAGTAGTTGGTTCTCTTCGCAGCTAGTTGGTTCGCTCGATCTCTTTGTTGATAACGAGAGGAGCTGAGAACGCTATGTATGCATGTCCGATCGCGGTGGGTATCCGAGCGGGCTTGTGTTCTTCTTATTGAAGGCCTTGCGCTAAGGGCTCTATGCAAGGAGGCCGGCCGGGTACGAAAGAAAAAGTACCTCCCCCCACAAAAAAACTTCTGGGATCAACACCAAAACCGGCGAGAAGCGCACCTCCTTGAGCTCGTCTTTGTTCAGAAGACACGCACGGTGTTAGCCCATGTATCCGTTGGTCTATAAATCACTCAATCCAGGGGAGGAGGAAAAAGTTCAGTGTTGGATCATACGGTTAGCACCTGCGAACAAGAAACAAACCTCAAGCCAGCCAGCCGGGGATTCTACACTAAACTCGAGATAATGGCACCTACTTGTTGCCCGACGGTGGTGACGAAACAAGAAATTGAGGCTCGACCCTAAATTGACGTTTCGCGGACGTTAACAACTGTATGATGACCAAATATACCCACCCGTGACTTTTCTCCAGAAGACTAGATGTCCTCTCGTTTAGCAGCCTGAACAACAAGAAGACAGAGATGGTGACAATCAATCCTGTTGTGTTTGTTTGTGTTGGACAAGGGCGTGCAGCGAATATATCGCGGGTGGGGTTGACGCGTGGTTTTATTTTTTGAACTCTATTTAGGCCTGCACATATGCTGAGAACTACGACATTCACTACACTATTATTTGTACTGCATAAGTCAGCGCTGACTGGGGTCTAGACTAATACTCTGTAGTAGTGGTTTCGCGCTTCTAAAGAATAAATAAAGCCCGAGTCGGTCAAGCTTTCTTTCAAGCCACAAACAAACACGTCCGTCCCTTGACGGACTCGGACATTATCTTTTGTCTGAGAAGCACGATAACCACTAGACTACTAGTTAGCACTGGCTGGTGATCTAGTCGTAACCGTGCTTCTCAACAACATACATTCGGTAGGTTTTGGGTAAGATATCATACCCTCTGGACGGATTCTCAAATCTCGAATAATCTACAGCAGTCTACTAACAGCAGCACGGCAAAAAAAAAACAGTATTGATTGTTGGACACGTGTTCTCGAGAGCGTTTCCGAAAACGTACGATTAGATTCTGGTGCCCTTTCGTGGTGGAGTCGTGGAGTAGTCGATCGTCGAGCTTTGCAAATTGGTAAATCGGTAAGTCGGTCCAGGTGTCCAGGTCCAGGTGTCCAGGTCCAGGGGGTGCACCGCCAACCGTCATTTTTTGTGCCGCAAAACGTCGTGCGTTACAATGTGACAGTCCCGCGGCCTCGGCAAGCAGGCTCTCTTCCGCATTCGACTCCTCCTCTGTTGGTAATGCGGGAGTGATTGAAGAAGTTCTCGTCGATTCATCGCGAGGCCCGGGGTGTTTCATGGTGCCGAAGGGTAGATGGGGTCAAGCGGTTCGACTCTCTTGCCGGCACCAGACGACCGATTACTAAAAAGTATCAAAATCTTAGATCTGAGCAACACCGATCTGGCGAAGGTGAGCTCACCACCGAAACCGAGGCCAAAACACGAACGAAGGAGTTGTTGCCGCGGGTGTGGTCAGTTCAATAGGTCGAAACACTACCCATAGATGGCCAGTACGACGCGTGCGCATCCTCGTCTACGTGATGGTAAAGTTGTCGCCGCGCGCACACATGATGACCAATAACTAACGCAGGTGTTCCGGTTGTTCTGCAAGTATGACACCGCACAGCGAGGATGCCTCAGCCTCGCAAACGTGTACAAGATGCTCGGGGAAAAAAAATCCATCTTCGGAGATAGTTTATTTGAACTCATCGGTGAGCGGTGTTTGCGCTGCAAGCGCCGGGTGTCACTGGACATCTGGCTTGAAGCTTGCGGTGTGCGTACAAGGAGCGGTCTACAGTAGACCAAAGATTAACGGCAGCAGTACACTCTGTTCAGCAGGGCGCGTATCAAAACGCCATATTTCACTGATACTACGCACCAGCGACTATTCGGCTTATCTTCAGCTGAATGCTGCATTCACACAACTCTCCTCGCGCAAACACAGCAGTATGCCGCCCTAACATTCCTGACGTGGTATCGGAATGAAAATCATAGGTATCCGGGACTTCCAGGAGCTGACGTTTTCGGAGTGGCTGGATGCAATCACGACATTTTGTCTCTTCGAGGAGGAAGAAATCCTGCGGTTTTGCTTCTTCATCCTAGACCGAGAGAAGAACGGCTACATTGAAAAAGACGAGATGCGAATGCTAGTAAACATGCTCTACAACATTGACCCCGTGAAGGGGCCCACCGGAAACACGAAGGTGGCCTTCGACAAGCTCTCCGTGCAGCAAGATGGGAAGATCGAGTTCTGGGAGTTTGAGCTGTTCAACAAGGCGTTTCCTTCGCTATTTTTCCCGGCTTTCCGGCTCCAGGTTAGCGAAAGTGTATGTTTATACCCAGAGTTTTTTTTTTACTGTTGCCTGTAAGCGTTCCCATTATGTAGTCGGCCGCCATTGGCCTACATAGTAAGGGATGCGTCGTTTGGCGGATGTAGGCCTATCAACCTACTACGATGTACCATGGGGGGTATAGTCTACAAGTAGAGGCCGAGGGTTCGGAAGGAAACATGAGCATTGAGAAGGAAGTTCCATAATGTTTTTTTGAAGCACTTTAATCTAACGGAAGGATTTTTAAACACTGTGGGCAGTTTCTTTCGTCTTCTCAAAATAGCCAACCATATTCCCACCGCTGCGTTGACTCAAACGAAGGTAAAGATGATGCAAGCAGTGTGGGGCGAAGCTTGGTGGGGCCGAAAAAAAAGAAATTTCCAAGACAGGCTCGAGCTAAGGCGGAAGCACGAGGAGGAGGACCGGCTGGCCGATGCCAACCGGCTAGAGGCCATGCGGCAACGGCGTATCAAGCGCAAGATGGGCGCCTGCAAGTACTTCTGCTGGCCGTGCGGGCGGGCCGAGTACGACAAAATGTTTCCCAGGGCCAACGTTGTCGTAGCCGACCCCGCGGCGGACGAAGCCGAGCGCTTGCGAAAGGTGCTTCGTATGATTCCGCCAAAAGACGTTAACATGCGTGAGGAGAGAAACTGTGGGGGGGCCTGCCCGTATAACGCCAGCAGCAGGGTCGGCATACTGTTGACGTTGTTGCTCCCGCCCTTGTTTCTAAGTCGGCACCTGCGTGTGGATTGTGTGTCCTGGGGAGGTGATGGTCCCAGAAGACAAAACCATCATGAGAACACAACGCGCACGCCTCGCTGAGTTTCACGCTGTGCTGTGTTGGCACTCGAGCATCCGCACCATGAAGGTAGACCGTTGCGCTTGCATTTGACGGGGTGGGGCCGCGGCGCGGCGCGTCTTCCTCCGGTGAGACATGCGTACGTTCCAAACTTGATGATCAGATTGTGCGCCCTTCGTCTGAGGACGCTTTCCCGACACCAACCGTAATTCTCGGCCGCGCTCCCACAGCAAGCGGAGGAGAAAGCGAGGCTACAGCGAGAGATGGAGGCGCGGTACCTCAACCCGGAAACCCAGGAGTACAAGAAGTTCAGGGAGAAGCTAGACGCCAAGAAGGAGAAGGAAAAGAACCAGCGGGACAAAAAGCCCAAGGTTGAGAGCCGTCGGCCGGTGAAGCGAGAAAAGAACGCGGACGAGAGAAGGTTAAGGCTGGAGAATCGCAGAGTCAAGAACGGGAGGTTGCCTCCTGTGGGCGGAGCATTCGGGTAAACATCAGTCTGAGCTTCATGGTGTTGATTGGGTCTGCAGCAGAAATTTATCCGGTTGTGAAACGCGCTCGTTAAAAAACACGCCGTGCGTTGACCACAAAAAACGGGCCCTTTGCAGACAGGCCCGCATACAGTAGTACCCCGATTGTGCTCAAATAATTCTGCATGGAGCACGCGCACGGCAAAATAGGGTGCGGCAACACACCGGCAAAACAGGGGTCGGCCTCAGTGTTGTGCTGCTGGACGTTCTCCCAGGAAATGCAACCAACATCACGCACGCACAAACTTCGCCAACTTTGTGTGGAGCAGAGCTTGACCCGCTGCACACGTCTGAACATGCCTAAAACACTTGCAACCTTTTCCGGCCAACAAATCTCTTGGCACGACGACGTACGACCCCAACTTACGGCAAAAGTTCGGGGCCTTACAAGAGGCTCGAAAAACGTCATCGAGCATACCACGGTTGGCACGCTCACTTTCAATTTCACTCAGTTTCTCCCATCGTCGTAAAACCCGTCGCTAGCCCTCCCCATCCCCGTCCCGATCGCCGCGCCTGCTCTTTTTCGGTTCCTCGCCCCCCTTCGAAGCACCATTGCCATCGCCGCCTGCGTCATCGCTCTTGGCAAACCTTACCCTAGGCCTCTTCTTCCCACCTGAAGCCTCCTCCTCCTCCTCCTCCTCCTCCTCCTCCTCTTCGTCGCTAGCGCTTCTCTCCTCCTTGTCCTTTTCCTCGTCCGGAATCTGCCCGCATTCGGCTATCTGAACCCTCTTGGTCGGCTCTCCTGAAGTTGTGCCGCAGTCTTCGATCTTTCGCACCACTTCCATGCCCTCGACAACCTTACGCGGGAGAATAGGGCACGGGGGTCGTTCGGTCGATGACGCGGAGGGCGGCCGGGGACAAAGCTATTTGAATGGCGGTTGTTTTGTCTGCCGGGAATCGCGCACTCTTGTTGCGGGTGCTTCGTACAGTCTAATAGTCGCGCGGACCCGTGGTTGCAAATGATGCCAGAAAAAAAGAAGGAAAAAAGTGATTCACCGTGATTTCTATTCAGTTAAGCGACTCGGTAACTCGAGCGTTCCTCTCAAACGCGCTGATGTCTGACGCGCCCGCGATGTCACAGCAAATTCGGAGTTGACACATCCTCAGGTATCGAATGCTGCGGACCACGTGAGCAACAATTGGGCAGACAGGCAAGCGCTACAAGTCGGTGTTAAAATATTCTCAGGCACGGCCTCCGGTTTCCCCGCACGGTCGTACGTACGAGACAGTATTATAGTACCTTGCCAAACACGACGTGCTTTGAGTCCAGCCAAGGAAGCGGTCCGAAGGTGATGAAGAATTGAGAGTTGTTGCTGTCTCGACCTGATGAGAAAAAAGTGGGCAGAGAGAGAGACCCACACACAAACGCAGAGAGAGAGGGAGAGAGAGAGAGAGAGAGAGAGAGAGAGAGAGAGAGAGAGAGAGAGAGAGAGAGAGAGAGAGAGAGAAAGAGACACAGAGAGAGAGAGAGAAAGAGACACAGAGAGAGAGAGAGAGAGAGAGACATGCACGGAGAAATGGGGAGGAGACGGCGGCACGGAGTAATGTGAAAGAGACAGACAGACAGACCAGACAGGCAGACAGAGGCAGGCCGAGAGCCACGGATCACGGTATCTTGAACGAAATGGGTCTAAATACGGCGCAAATCGGCATTCGCACCAAGAGTTGGAACTTCGAGGCCAAGCAGCGGAATGTCGAACAACAAGAAAAAACATCCTTGACGCACATAATTTACCGGGCACACCACCCTCCCCCCCCCGATACCACCGACCGAGACCCCCTTGCCTGAATTAGCCATGGAGAGCAGACCCGGCTGGTCGTGCTTAAGTTGAAAGCTTTCGTCCACGAACGTTGGCCCGTAGATGGACTCTCCACCGCTGCCGTGCGGGTACAACGACCACAGACACACACAACGGAGACACGACACGCCACGAACAACGAGGGCAAGGGGGGTAAGCCGTCAAGTTGAGATCAGGGGGTTTTACTTCGGTTCTCGATGTTGCACCGCACCATGTGTCGCTCTCTCGCTCTCGGCCCACCTGCACAACAAAAACGAGGATCAGTAAATACCGAAGCGGGGCCGTGGCGTGATCTGCCTTGTGCAGGTTAACCCCGGGCGAGTCTCCGCATCTCTGGTTCCTAGACAATGACAACGGTAAAATAAATAGAGTCGGTTTATTGGCACGTTCTAGAACCCACACTTTCCCGCATTCGAGAAAAAAAGAATCGTGTACGGAGAAACGCTCTCAAAGCTGGATGAAACAAACGAATGCCGCAGGCGACACGGATATAGTCACATGAACTGCAGTAGTGGCCACGGTGAGAAAACGGCGGACAACGACAGACGAGAGACCTTCTTCTTACTTGCCCCCCCCCTCCTCCCCTCTATCTCCCCTCTATCTCTCCACTTTCTCGCCCCCTGTGCCTCACGTTTTCTCTCCCTGCCCATCTTTCTCACTCCTTGTACCTCCGATGTTTGATCTCTCTGTCCATCTCTCTCTCTCTCTCTCTCTCTCTCTCTCTCTCCCTCCACCTCCCTCCCACTCCCACCTTCCGTCTTCCCTAGTAATGTCTCCCCCTTGAGCCATAAAATTAGGGACGATTCTGTGGAAAATGTTGCCCAGGAAGCTTAGCGGGAATCCACTCGATCCCCGCGGCTGTGCCATGACGTGCATTTAGGTTCGGTCGGTAGAAAAGATACGGAAGACACGGCACGGAGCGACCAAAGCATGTCAGCGTGTGAGACGATTCCAAACGAAAAAACAACGATGGGAAGAATAGAGCACGTTCCTGCCGTAGGCTGGCAGCGCGACAACCACGCACGGCGGCGCCCCCAGGCTGAGCGCATGATGCAGGCAAGAGATTGAACCGTAAACAACACACACGCCAGTGGCATTCAAAACTCGGAACATCTCACACCTCGCGATGAACTGCCTCCCGTGCCTACGCCGACAGACCCAGCGCGTCAAGTCATCTTGCCATGTGTCACAACTGAGACAAGCAACTCCGGCGAGAAAAAGGGCTGACTCAAAATCACAAACCGCCTACACATAGATAATTTCAGCAAAAAGACTAAAATATGCCGACAACGTGGCATCGTCAGGTTGCCGGGACCTCTTCCGGTCGCCTACTCCGAGCCCCTCTACCCCAATACCGACAGCCACAGCTCCACGGCCGGACTGCCCACGAAAAGAACGTAAGGTTAATGCGAAAAATGACGGGGGCACGCAGAACCTAGCCCTAGCCCTGACCCCAACTCAGCCGATTCCACACTTTATCCAGTATGTTTTCTTGCTTAGAAAAGCCTGCGTAGACTACTGCCATGGCCCCACGTACTTACCTTTTCTCCGGTGCACAGGGCACGGAAGTTCTCGGCCGTCCGCGGCACTGCGTTCTCGAAGAGCTCCAGGGTTACGCGCCCGGCGTTCTTCCCCTTGGCCAACCGGCTCTTCGCGCCCGTAGTATCTGCTATCTCGATGTCGAGGAACACTCTCGGGTTCTTGGTGTTCGCCTTCCGAACTTCTTCCTGTCGGTTATTTTTTTTTTTTTCGGGAGTATCATCGGGAAGTACATCCTCCATATATTAGCGCGATTGGGTGGGTGGGTGGGTGGGCGGGGCGCCCAGAGCGGTATTCTACCGGGTTAACCCAGACTACTGGTTACCACGCTTTCAAGGCACGGCGGTCGTAACGCGCGGATTTTTCATGGATGTCGTAAGTTTTCGACTTTCGGTGCTGACTGGTGCGCACGTGACGCTTGTGAGACGTTGCGGTTGGCAAAGAAAACCGGGAAAGAAAGGCGGGGAAGTCTGCCTCGACATTACGCACCGCAGGTGCGCGAGCGCTTGCCGGCAGTGTGTCAGGGGGAAAGCTTCTGCCAAGGAAAACACACACAACCGACGGTGAAAAAGTTCGTACCCCGGTCCCGCAAGCGCAAGACGTGGGATCCCGCAAGGACGTGAAGAATCCATGCTATTTTCAAGGTGATGTGTTTCAATGTTGGAACAAGTTTCCAAGGAAACACACACACAACCGACGGCCAACAAGGCCGTACCCCGGTCCCGCAAGCGCAAGACGTGGGATCCCGCGAGGACGTGAAGAATTCATACTATTTTCAAGTTGATATGTGTCAATATTGGAACAACTTTCCAGCGACGCGCCCATTGCTCAGCGGAGGTACCTCACCAGCAAGTGCAGCCCCAGTGCACGAGCGTCTTCAACCAAAACACCAAACAAGACGCAGAAGGTGCATCATATTGTTCGTATGCCGTGACTGGGCACGCCACGACCCCACGGTAAAAAAAGCTTGGAGGATCTATCTACCCTGCTCTTTCTACAAATACCGCACACGAGAGCCACGCACGAGTCATCATCACCAAGCCCGAGTGCATGTTCGTGCGCGTTTGTGCGTCATCGACACACGACACTCGCGCAAAAAATACCCGACCTTTCTCCGCAGGCTGTTCGCCGCCTCTGCAGCAAGAGCGTCCTGGTTCTTCGCCCTCTCTGCGTTCTCCTGCTGGATCTTCTCCTTCTCCTCTAGTTCCCTCTGTAACGACAAAAACGCCTCGCTTGGGGTAGTGTCATCCCCCTCATCTTTGTCGTCGGCCTCCACATCTACCTCCCAGGCCCTCTGGGAGGCAAGTGTTCACGCACCGGGAACCGCGGGGGTGGGGGGTGGGCAATTAGACTTGTGCACAAATGTGACGAAGCCAATGAACGAAAACGAAAAACTATAGACTAAATAGAAGCTGCTGAAATGTCCTCGAAAATCGAAGGGTTTTTCGGGAACGAGAACCGAGCGTTTTCCCAAAGACCCTTATCATTTTTTACTATTCATCTGGCTGCACTGGTGGGGCAACGACTTCAACTACGCCGTGCACCTCACAGACATCGCAGCCAACTACGGGGACACGGCTAGCCTCCAACATGGTATTTCACTCCACGTTCAAGAACGGGGTACCCATTATATCGTTCTCCTGGAAGCTGGATAAACGCCGCTTAACGGTGCAGTTGAAAGCAACACGGCATCCTGGTGGAGAGGAACTACAGTAAGCCGACTTCACACGTCTACATACAACCATCGGCCATTGTGAATTTTACAATTGAGACCTTATGGGTCAGGGTGGCAGTACAGATACTCCACGCCATCAAGATTATCACTTCTGCCCAGCTTGACATTGGAAGCAGCCGCAAACTAGACTAAGGCCCTGCGATAGTCGGGGGAGGAAAGGTTTAAAATTCGAACGTTGCAACCATGACACATGACACAGCAAGTATTCGCACGGGCATGTGTGTGCGGCGAAATAGCAAGAAATCAATTTACCTTACAACAGACCAATGGGTACCTGCGGCGTACCCTTCTAAAAGCTGGTATTACATCATCGTGAAAAAAAGAACTGGAAGAGCAAGGAGCCCGTTACTGTACTGATATATCCCACTACAATTTCAAAGCACGGATGGGATGTACGCTGCGATGGGTTGGAGAGTGGTATTACACGTCAAATCCAACAGTTTGAAATCCTGCTGCTTGAGTGTGCACATTCACGCTTTCGTCCGCTTCATCGCGCAAATCTTCACCTTCTTCTTCGCCTCCGGCTTGTTTGGCTTGCGACGAAACATGATCAATCCAGCAAACAGAAAATACACACGACGCCAGCGCCAGGATTTTCTCTTGTTTGCGCTGGCCGTTGCCAATGCTGCGCGGCCGCTTCCAGATTGCCAGAGAGGGGATCCACAGCTCGTCCCAGCTGATCGACGGGGTACCCTGCAAAGACTCTGATTCTCTGGGTACGGTGCCCCCGCTGGGATCCCATGATCTGTGCGTATGTGCGTGTGTGTGAAACACTTCGGTGGCGTTGAATTTTCAAACCAACAACAACACAAGACGACGAAGGCAGAGGGATTTCTACAACAACAACGAGAGAGGGTGAGCTGGGCTAAAGGTCTCGGACGAACGGATGCTGTTCCCAGGACGCGAAATTTGAAATTTGCTCGAGTCCACTCTGCTGAAAAGTAGGAGGTGAAAATAGGTTGAGTCCACGAATTCGCCACCAGCCAGTCCTTCGCAGAGAGAAAAGCCGCCCTTTACACGCGCGACACCGGTCCTCATCTTACCCCGAATCCTCGTGCGGGTTGCGAATCACCGCATGACTTCGACAATGTTACGGCGAACCACACGAAGCTTTGGAAACTCAGTAGCTAGCACGTTTGGTGAGAAAGATCTGACCGCATGTTGTAAGATCCAACAGCCGGAGGAATCCAAAAAAACATGAGTCTTGAGAAATCATAGCTTTCGCTTTGAGAAATCTTCCGATGTACTCGAGAAAGTATCGAAGGGTAGATTGCTGTAGTTTGTTGTCGCACTTCTGCCGAAACTGTACGAAGGTGGTGCGTTAGATACAGTAAACCAATCTGTTGACTCTAAGCAGGAACGCGGGCATGTACCTTTGAGCAGCACCAGGAGGGGGACAAGCGGCGATGTATGGTTGCCTCAGGGCAAAAAATGGACTGGACTGTAAGGTTCAAGGTCGTATCACGGTGAACCAATTCCGCAAGTCAGGGCTGCAGATGGGCTGGACTGCAGTGTCCAAGGCCATACCGTGAACCAACTCGATAAAAGCGGAGTGTTGGCAAGCGCTCGCGTGACCCTTTCTCGCGAACTCGTCGGCGTGAACACGACCAACACAGCTTGTGGAGGAGTCCCCCAAGGGAGGCACTAGGTAAGGCCCATGACGCAAGTCGAATTGCAAGTCGAACCGCGTAGCCGCCGAGCGGAGCAGCAGGCACGACACAACCAGGTGTGATACTTGTCTGCTACCATGCTGTCCTAAGGATGAAACAATGCCGACTGCCAGCTAGTATCGTTGCCAAACGACCACTCACTCCCGTCAACTTCGGGCAGAACGGATACAGGCATTGTCGCCTTCTTGACAACAGCCCGGAAAAGCAGCCTATCCGTCCCGGCCTGCCAAAACCCGAACACAACACAAACGCACTCCCTAGAAACCCAGGGCTAAAAAACTGAAACCACCAACACGACTGATGATCCATTCACGCAGCAGATACCGCCGCAGGCTCAGTCTCCACAGCCGGCGGCGGCGCAAGCCCCAGCCCCTCCACTACCCCGTGGCACCGGGAACACAAGGAAGGGTGGTCCTCGTGGGACCCCACACTATCGCAGTGGTACCAGCACCTCTCGCACTTGTTGCCTGGCGCGCGAGACACGCCCACGACGCACCCGCTCTCGGAGTCTTTGGCCGAGACGGTCATGCCCTCGGCGCAGGCGGAATCGACCGCCTCCGTGGAAGAAACCAGGTTGATCTGAGAGCGCGGTGGTGCGAGACGGATGGGGGGGAGGGGGGAGGGCGGGGCCAAAACGGAGTGATGTAGGGATGCAAGAAAATTGCGTGCTCAGATGATGTTCGGAACTTGGCGGCAAAGGCTGATTGAAACGCGAGCTTTCCGGCTCAGTATTGGCTGTCCTTCGCGCCTGAAACAGTCTTCTGTGAAGCATCTCGTTTGGTCGGGCACGTGGCGCACGGTACGAAAGACACGAGGTGTGGACACCCCCACGCCCTCGACGGAAGTAGGGCTGAACGCATGCTGCAATGGTGTCTTCCGAGCAGCCTGAGCTCAGGAATCGGTTTGAATAGGCAACGTGCAACATCCCCTTACTCAAGCGCTGAGACTTTGTCGCTACTGGACACCACGCCCGATAAGGACCATCACTGCAACCCTTGCACGTCCTGCATCCATGTCCTCCCTGGCGAAGACGAAGCCGATCCTAACCGTCAGACTGACCTTGGATACCATAAGCACAAACCGAAGGTCGTCCACGCCGTTGCTGAGCTCCGGCTCCCTCTTGAGGGTCTCGTCCCCGAGGAGGCTTTCTAGTTCTGCCTTCAAGCCGTCGTCGCTGCAGTAAATGAACACCTGGGGTCCGGCCATGAACGGATGAAGGCAAGTGTCAAGCCAAGCGAACGAGTCCCGACTATATTCGTCGTTCGCGTTGAGGTGGCGTGGAAATGGGCGCAGGTGCTTGCTTCGTCGTCACAGTAGTGGAAGGTGCGTGCGTGACAAACACCCGTTGCGCGAAAAACGCACCAAGCGGTGACCGGTGACTGGGGGTCGCAGGAGATCTCGCCGCAAAAAAAACAACAGGGTTCACCCTCAGGCATTTCCGGTTCAAACTCAAGGATGCGAGGGTCGAGGGTGGATGTAATGCCGTACAACAGACAACAATACCCAGTGGAACATTCAAACAGCCCCCATCTTGGCTGTCTGGTGCAGCGTCGCGAGCTGACCGTTTCCCCACGCCGAAACAAAGAGCCCGGGAGACACCAGGCCATGCATAACACGAAACTTACAAGAAAGCCCCTGACCACCACCACCACCGCCAACACATTTGATGCCGCCTTGGAATGAACACCATTTTGTAACCAACCGTGTCGCCCACGAGACTCGCCTGTCCCTCCAGCGAGGACCCCAGGACCTTCGCGCCTCGCGCCTGCTCCAGCGCTTTGTTGACGTCGTTCCTGAGAGTGCGGAGACGCCCCCACTTTTCCGCCTCGTGCTGCGCGTGCCTCCCCGTCGCCCAGCCAGCCTGGAAAATGCTCCTGGTTTAACCACAACGACGACGGCGACAACACACGCAGAGTTCGTCGGGGGCAAATGATTGATTGACCTTGCACACCGAGCGCTCGCCAAACATCCAGGCTGTTGCATCGGTAACGTGAGATGTGCTGTCTCTCCGTGGCACCCTACGATCGGTGCAAGCACAAGTCGAGGCCCAGACCGGCAGATGACCGGCTTCTCCCCTACCACCACCACCACCACCTCATCACCCACAACCAACGAACAAAGCTCGAGCGCAGCGACGGCAAGCGTCGCACCTTTGCCCGCCCTCGGGTTTAAACGGAAGCGTCTGCCAAACGTCCTCCGCCATGTGCGGCAGAATCGGGGCCATGGCGGTCGACAGGCTCATGAGCATCGTGTGCAGCACGGTCTGGCAAGACCGCCGCCGGAAGTCATCCGAGCTCGAAATATACAACCTTTTCGTGATTGGGAACGGAAGATAGGGAAGGGTAGTCATTGGTTGGTTGCCGTTCGAGAGAGAGAAGAGCCCCGGTTCGGCGACAACCAAGAGGTACAGTCAACCTTCTGGCAGCCTTGGCTGCTCTGGTGTGGTGCAACTGCTGATGTGCTGGTGGGTTCACTGTTATCGTCGACCACATTGTTTCTTGGTTCTATACAATTGACCGCGAGGCACAACAAGTGACGAGTCATGACGGAAGAACCAACATCAACACCCAACACCCGACACCAACAAAAGTTGCTCAAGTATCACGCGCAAAAAAGAAAAACGAAAAGAGGCGTACCGCCTTTGGAGCTAGCTCACCTGTCCTTAGCCCCGTCCAAGTAAAAGTTGGATAGATCGGCCGTTGCGAACCTCTGCAATACCTGCCGTCACCAACCACACCCAGCACCACAAACCGCAGAAAGAAAATTAACCATCAGGAAACGGAACGGAGACACGAAGAGAACGCACTAGTGCAAGCCGCGCGGCTCAACCAGAGGCTGAAAAAATATGACGCAACAGTGCCGCATCAGCGTCGAAAGAGCTGCAAAAGAATCCGCGGACTTTACCCTGTACGCAAGTGAGAAAATAAAAAAGAGTTTGCTTGGAATGGTAAAGTTTGGCGAGCGAGTCTCAATTTTGCCGAGCAAAGGTTCACCAGTGCCTCAACGCTTCCACAATTTCGTACTCGTGTTCAAGCTCGGGAATGAATGAAAAAAGGGGCATCAACACTACATCCGCGGGAGAAGCAAGCGAAGGGCCGCAAAGGGCCTATCGACACGCACGTACGTACCGACCTTCCTGAGTCACAAGGGTGGATACATGAGCGGAGAAATTGATTTATTAAAACGGACAGGACGGTAAATCGCTGCCTTTGTTATACTTGTGATGGTTTTCTCCCCTGATGATGTTGTTTGTTTTTTGCTACCATTTCTTTACCTGGCTGGCCTTGTAGAACTGATAGCCGTCGAAGGCGTTCTCCACTTCTTCCAGCACAGACGAAAGCATCCCCAGCATGTACCTGGCGATATCGGAAACCGTGAGCATTTGTATATTGATGCACTTGTAGGCGCGTGCTCAGCCGGGAGATGACCGAGTATGTACACGCGCGAGAACGGACTGGTCTGATATTATGGTGCACTCAGTGACAACCACAGCGAAAAATAAAGAGCAGCTGGAACGCTCACGACTCCTATTGAAGCAAAGGAATACCGCACAAAAAAGTGTAATCAAGCCTACAGCTAGAGAGACGAGGTCTTGCGCTGCTCTTTCGAGCACGCAACAACAGACGGAGAAACCATTTTGTAGCCCACGTCACACGGGGAAACCAAAACCAAAACCAAAACCAAACTGTTCATTACTCGCAAGACATGTGTTGACGGTGGGTACCAAGTCTAGCGATCAAACCAAGGCAAGCACCGCAGGGGGGAAGTGGGGCAATATAACAAGCAACAAACAAGCTCCGTGAGACCTTCCTCTTGTGTGGCCCCCGCTGACACGTCAGGTATATACGCCGAAAGCTTGTAAACCGGCGCCAGAATAGATCGGACGAACACACACGCCAAGTATATACCCCATCGACAGAAGGGTTAGATGGGTGCGGTCAATATTAAGAGACCGGCGGTATTTTCTCTCATATCTTCAAGAGGGCAGGATGACATGGTGACGTGGGATACAGCAGGGCGCTGGATGCAGCTTTGTTACGTTGGAAGCCAACCGGAGACGCCTGCATCAAGATTGAAACTCTCAATGCTTGCGCGCGCGGGGACGAAACGAGGCCACGAATGACACGCGTACCGCATATACAGCGGTCCAACCACACCCCGCTTCGGCGCCCCGACGCCCCACCATGCGGGCAGACCGCCGACGTCTCGCGTAGAACTCCAAATGCATCCTAGTGCACGCGAGAAAACACATCGGGGACACTCCAGCGCCACCGCGCGCGACACACGCACGAGAACAGTTAACGCCAAGCCCGACACAAGAAAGCCAGCTACATTTGTACGATAGATGGCTCACTTGTCGAGGGAAGGGAGGTCCTCGTAAGGAACGCTGTCCTTTTCGGGGTCGAAGTCGAACAGGCTTCCCGTCAAGTATCGGAGCGTGTTCCGCAGCTTCCTGTAGGATTCGGATGCCTGTTTGTGTTGCCAGAGGGATAGGACAGCGGACGGCGAGCGATGAGACGTGATCTTGTTGTGTGCTGACGCCCGCCCTTGACCAATAATGAAATCGACACACAGCAGTTGCAGCATTCCGGTGAAGCAGCTTCGCTCCAGCAGGTGCATTGGCTAGTTTCTCTTCTGGACAGGCGACAATATTAATAGCCTCCCCGCCGTTAGCCAAAGGTAGAGTCCTCTTGAGTGTGGGCTACTACCCCCGTGCGTTACCAAAAAGCCGAAGCGAATGAGCAAGCGTCCTCTATGTCTGTCTGTCTGTCTGTCTTTCCGTCTCCCTCCCTCCCTCTCTCCTAAGTATCTGGAGGCGGTCTTGTTCTGTTTTTTGTAGGGGTGGCCGGAAAATCACAACCCTGCGGTGGGCTAAAAACCTCTTTATATCTTGATGTCATGTATCGGTGGACCGAGACAGCACTGTACCACTTCGGCAGTTACCACTGCTCCTCATCGGCGCCGTACCTGCTTGATGATTTGGTCGCCGACGCACACATCACCCGAGTAGTCCACGCTCGACACCCACAGCCGAAGCACGTCCGCACCGTACGCGGGCTTCTGCTTCTTGTTGTTCCCGCCCTCGATCACCTAGACGAGGGGGCCGGCAAAAAAATGAAAGAGCATCGGCGGTGGGCACCCAAGAAAATAAAGACATGCACCCTGATTCTAACCCTAACTAACGACATGGGCTCAAACAGCACGATGTTGGAAAATGTCCCAGCATACAGTACAGAGCGGACACAAGGACGACACGATACACGCCGTTCGTGAGGCTTCAGAATTCACGTTGCCAACGTCGTAAAACAACCTGGTCGTGAAAACCACACGCCTCCAGTCAGTGTCCCCACCGGCCCACGATCTTTGCGCCTCTTGCAGACCACCCAAAACACCGGGGAAAGCCCTACATGCCTCCAGACCACCCCAAATGAGTGTGCCACACACCTCACTGCCTAGACCTACCAAAACGTTCTCCTACACGCGTACCCGCAACGGCGAGCCTGCAAGCAACCGCAACTCGTACGGACAGCACAACAAAGCAGCACAGCACAACGCGGCCTCCTGACGCTTGCATACCGCCCCGCCCAGGCCAAACAACCACAGACACAGACACAGCGCCTGCAATTCAGAACTTGAGCACCATTTGTGAGCTCGGGTACGAACCCCGACATACACTAAAACCTATATACTCCGGAGTAGCGGCCGTTCGTAGCACAACCTACGAACCCCAGCACTAGAGGCTCTCAAGTGCGGGCACTGCTGTCTGTATCTGTAGACCACCCACCTCTGTTGGGTCGAGCGTGTTGCCGAGGGACTTGCTCATCTTGTAGCCCTTCTCGTCCAGCACGAAGCCGTGGGTCAGCACCGTCTTGTACGGAGCGTGACCGTTCGCGGCGACGGAGGTGAGCAGGCTGGACTGGAACCAGCCCCTGTGTTGGTCCGACCCTGTTTCCAGTTGGTTTTCGAATTGCGCCGAAGAGACGGGAGCATGAGGGGGGGGGGGGGGGTTAGACAGCTGTACCATGCGCCCGCATCGCGTTCTTTAGGAATCTTTAATTGCTGTGTCATATTTAGACAGATGAGGCAACAATCCCCCTTCTCCATCGAATGCGAATAATCCGTACCTTGCTTGTACAATGTATTGTGGTCGTCCAGCTGTCTGGAACTTCTACTACAGATAACATTCAAACGCTACCAAAACACAGCTGCTGCTGCTGCTGCTGCTGCTGCTGCTGCTGCCAACACCGCTGTTTCTAGATACGATCTCTCAGGAAGAGAGAGCCACAGGACGGACCACCAAACCAAAAACTGCTCCTGCTGTTATCGTGTGTGGTGTCACCCTCCTCGGACATCAAAAGGCAACACAGACTGCCTCAGTGCCGACCTTGGCACCATACCTTCTACCCCTACTCCTGTTTAGCTCTGACACGACCCACCCTCGAGGTACAGATCGGCGGGGTAGTCCAGCTCCTCCCTGGCCTTGGCAACGCCCGCCCACGACGAGCCAGAGTCGAACCACACGTCCATCGTGTCCGTTCCTCGACGCCACTGGTCTGCCTCTCCCTGCAAGGACTGGATTGATCAAGCATCAGGAGGAAAGAGGCGTGTTCGTGGGGAAGGTGCCAACGGTCAGGCCGGTGCACAAGCAGGGATGAAAAGGATGGGCCGGCCGAGGGGGGGAGGACTACATGTTGTCATGAAAGACTCACACATACAAACCCCATGACGTCTCCTCGAGGAGTCCCAGATGATGGCCTTTAGAACCTCTTTGTGTTTTCAAACGCGCTGAGACTGGCGTCTTTTCATTGGTCAGCCGGTTAGCGCGGTCGATGCTAATGACAAAAACACACACAAAGAGCAAGCCGGAAGACTACGCAGACGGAGGAATTCGTGGGTGTAGCAAAACAATGGCTGGTACCTCTGGTGATTGTCCGTCCGTCCAATCACCTACGATCGAAACGTTTCGCAAGCTCCGTGCTAATAGGGGGGGCATGCTTGGAAAAGGGTGTTCCAAAAAGCGGTCGCTGGGTCTTTGCGCGAGTCACCCGCGAACAAACCGCCGCTCCGCAAGCCCACGCCCACACCCCGAGTATTGTTCCCAAAGTCTGAGCCATCAAACTCTTGGTGTTATGTTTCTGAGGCATCACCCATGGTGTATGTATCTGCGGCATCACCCATGGTGTATGTTTCTGAGGCATCAAACCCTTGGTGTACGTATCTGACTCGTCACACCCTAACCCTTGGTGTTTTGTGTCTTACCGGGGGGAGGAGGTCGGCGACTTCCATCTCCCACCAAGCGTCCGAGCCGTGCTCAGCCACGATAGCCCTGATGTGCTCGATGCTTTCCGTCGTCAGCATGGGCTGGTTGTTTCATCAAAATTAGCGTGCGAGGCAGCGCCGGGGTTAGGGTTGCGGAAAGGGTACCGCGTACTTCATTTTTGCGAGTGACAAATCCCGTCTTAGGAATGTCTGAAGAGTACACATGTCAGCCATCGAACGACCGTCCCTACACACACATCCGTGCAACGTCGTTTGCTATGTAGCGCGAGTCTCTAGAGTCAAGCAAGAACGAATCTACAAAACCCACAGGAGCACAGCAACAGCAACAAAGGTGGGCGTCGAATTGCGTCCCCCGCTTCAGAACCTCTCACTTTGTGCGAGGCTCGCGGGTTACTTGCTCCGTGTGGAGTTCCCAACGACAGCGACTACAAAGCAGGGTTTTAGTTAGTTAGAGTGGGGCTCTTATGGAGGAGTATTTCGTATGATACAGGGTTAAGCTAAGGAAACTGACTCGGCAGGCCTCGGGTCCTGGAGACGACAACAACCCGAAAATAACAAACAGCCCTGCTGGTCTTCCAGCCACACCCTGAAACCAGAGGCACCATTCCGAAAAAAAAAGTAGGTCGTAGCGCCTGCCGACGCTAGCAGCGATGCCGGTATGGCGAACGCAAAAATAGACAAAGCCCTGTTGCCAGCTTCCGGTCAACTTCTCCTCCTTCCGGTCACAACCCCATCCCCGTCCCAAGACCAGCCTCTTACCTCCCCCGACTCGATGTTGTAAAACACCGGGATGGGCAGGCCCCAGCTGCGCTGCCTCGAGATACACCAGTCATTTCGCCCCTCCACCATGGTCGTGATCCGGCGTTGTCCCACCTCGGGGATCCACTGGACCTGTCTCCCCCCCCCCGCGCCCCGGAGAGCAACGAACGACAACGACAACATTTTTTGTTTCCGCGTCGAGACCAAGTGGATCATGCGACGGATGAACGGACGGACTGACCGGCTTGACAAGCGCAGGTTCATAGACCTCGGCTGACAGCCCCCGGCACGACATATCTACCTCCTCATCATATTAGTAAACTGCGTAGAAGAGTTGTTGGTATGTCGGGAATCCTCTTGCGGCTCGCGGGTGACATTTGAGGTTATCGGGAATGGGTAGGGAGACGAGGGCGTGTGCCACTTCAAGACAAGCATGCTTACATGGAGAGGGGGGCTGTCGGCAATGGCTGCCCGATTCTAGCCAAAAGCACCGGTTCAAAAACTTAGTCCTCTTGCCAAGCAACACCCCCCCCCCCCCCCCC